TAACTTTAAATGGCTAAATTGAGATCTTAAAATTCTCTCTTAATTACAATAGTGTAATTATCAGGCCATTCCACTGGTGTTAACGTTTATATCTCACATTTATAATAGCATTGTGGGTCTTAAAGACAGTGTTCTAACTCAAAACAATTGTTTTTAAATAAAGAGATTCAGATATATAGTGTTATGTGGTTTTGTTAATCCCTGATAAATGCAACATTTCTAAGGTTTTCTTAAAAGCCAACCATACCAAACAAGAGTATCTTGTCCAGGGACAGATTTATTTCTATTAAATGAATCCATCCAGCTAAGATTTTACACACACACACACACACACACACACACACACACACACTGTGTGTGTGTATCCAGAATTGGAGCTTTATTAAAAATATGCCCATAGCAATTAAATAGAACTATCTATTCCCTCATCTGATTTATAAACCATCTGTGAGGAAGCATCAAATTACAGATAGGTGTTGTTTTCCAAGTGGAAAGCCATAAAGGCTATGCAACCTTCCACTTTAAGATTTAAATGTGATATTACTGGGCCAAATGGCAGATCGTACTCATTTGTGGAATATAAAGAACATTATGAACTGATGAACAAAAATAGATACAGAGGCAAAGAAGCATCGAACAGACTGTCAAACTACAGTGGGAAGGCAGGGGAGGGTTTGGGGGGGGGGGTAAGAGATCAACCAAAGGACTTGTGTGCATGCATATAAGCATAACCAATGGACGCAAGACACTGGGAGGGGTGGGTGGTGAGGGCATGTGCCGGCAGGGGCGGGGGGGGGTAAGGGAGGCCGGGGGGAGGTCAATGGGGAAAAAAAGGAGACATATGTACTACTATTTGTAATACTTCAAACAATAAAATAAAATTTAAAAGAAGAGATTTAAATGAGAGACAGAAGAGATGCGTGTGAATTGCTGGGGTTGGGTTTATGGCAGACCTCCATGTAGAGACAGGAAGTGTAATCTGACCTCAGAGAAATTACACATTGTTTTCCATTAATGGCTAAATTTGGGGAATGAAAAGAATGAGATTTAGAATCAGAAACTCTGAATTTGAGTACTGTCTCTACCATAGATAATATCATATCCTTTGAATACATTTTATGAAAACAATTTGAATTCAATGGAAAATTAGTTGGAATGAATAATCCCAGTCAATGAATATTTTTATATGACTTTTTTTAAGCCGTTGATTCATTTTCAGCCCAAATAATTTAGTTACTCATCTTTGCATTTAGAGTTATCTAAATGTCATTCTTTAAAACGAGTCACTATATATAAGGAAAGTTCATAATTTTAATTAATAAAGTGTCAAAGCTTAATCAGGGTTAGACTTCATTACAGAACTGGATCTTTGGTACAGAATTTTAATAAATAATAAAGTGTTATTTCATTAGTATTGGCTGGGAGCTAACATTTATTAAGTCTTTGATACTTTGAACTTCTTATAGGCATTCTTTAATTTTAACTACAATGACATGTGATTGCATTATGATTTCTTAACCAGAGCACAAACTGTCATCTGAAAACATTTCACTGCCGTATAACGACGTGACAAAGCAAACAGATCTTAAGCATCTAGTTCCCTGCATTTTTACTCAGTGAATTAAAGGGTATCCTAAAGACCCTCTCATGCCTCCTGTAGCCATCATCTACCAACTTCCGTCATCTTGATTAGTTTTGCCTATTTTTTAATAACAGCCTTATTGAGATATAATTCATATTCCATAAAGTTCACTCTTTTAAAAGCGTCTAATTCAGTTTTTTTCAGTATGTTCACAGACTTGTGCATGGATCATCACTAATCCCAGAACACTTCAATCTCTCTAAAACGTAACCACGTGACCCTGTGGCCACCACTCATCTCCTTTTGATCTCCAAGGACTTGCCTGTACTGTACATTTCATAGACATGCAGTCATACGGTGTGGCCTTTTGTAGCTGGCCTTTTCACTTGGCATAGCGTTTTCAAGTCTCATCCATGTAGCATGGATCAGAGCTTCCCTTTTTATGGCTGAATAATATTTCATTGTATCGGTATATCACTTCTGTGTATCCATTTATTATTTGATTGACCTTTGGATTTTTTCTACTTTTTTACTTTTATGAACAATCCTGTTATGAACATTTGTGCACAAATGTTTATGCCGTTATATGTTGCTCTAAATCAGGAAATATGAGTTCTTCAAATTTGCACTTTTGTTTTTTAAGAATATTTTGACTATTCTGGGTCCCTTGTAATTTTATGTGAGTTTTAAGATCCATCTTGTCAAAATTTATAAAAATAAAACATCGAAATCCTGGGATTTTGACAGGAATTGCTTTTATATCTTCAGATTGATTTAGAAAGTGGTAAGATTTTAACAATATCATGTCTTCTAATCCATGAACATGGGATATCTTTCCACTTACTTTCGTTTTTTAAAAATTTTAGGTGATGTTGCATTCTTTTGAGTGCACAAATCGTATGCTTCTTTTGTTAAATGTATTTGGAAGTATTTTACTCTTTTTTTTTATGCTCATAAATGGAATTGCTTTCTTATTTTCACTTTTGCATGGTTCACTGTAGCTGCCTACTTTTGAGCTTCATATAAATGGAATACGTTTGCTCTGCACCACTTTCTGTGCCCAACACCATGGCCGTGAGGTGCATCTATATAACTGCACATAGCCACAGCTTGCCCGTTCTCACTGCCATGAAGTTTTCCACTGCATTAACGTGTCATTCTCTATACCTTCCACCTGGAGGTGCATGCGACTTGTGTCCAGTTTGGGACTACTTTGACTAGTGGTCCCATCACCATTCTTGTTCCAGGTGAACACGTTGCACACTCGTTCTGAGTGTTTTCCTGGGTGGGAACATTCAGCTTTGGAAAGGGCTGCTAATTAGCTTTTACAAAGTGGTCGTAACAACTGACAGTTCCAGAGCAGTGCGTTAGTTGCTTTTTATACTAAAACTAGAGGCCCAGTGCATGAAATTCATGCACGGGTGGGGTCCCTAGGCCTGGCCGGTGATCAGGGCCGAGCGGGGCCTTCCAGCTGCCAGCCGGGGCCTCCCTTCCCTGGCTGCCGGCTGCCGGCAGGGGCCTTCCTTCATTCCATGCCACCCCCTGGTGGTCAGTGCACGTCATAGAGAGTGATAGAATTCCGGGTCTTTCAGTCACACTCCAGCAGGGACACTTTGCATATTAGCCTTTTATATATATAGATAAGAGCCCACTTTGTGCAATCTATCCTTTTCATTTTTGTCATTTCCAAAGTGTGTAGCGGTATCTCATTGTTTAAATTGGCATCTTCCTCATGACTAATGTCGTTGAGCATGTTTGCTTGGTTTTTTAGTGGAATATGTGGATATTCCCTTTACGTAGTATTCATAGAGTCTTTTGCTCACGTCCCATTGAATTATTGCCTTTTTCATATTTATTTGTAGGACTTTTATTATGGCTATAAGTAATTTAAATAGTGTGATATTGGCACAAGTATAGGAAATTGAGCAGTCGGCCAGTAGGGACCCTGGAAACAGACCCATGTGTGCCGTGACTTACTTTATGGAAAAAGATGATTCTGAATTACAGTGGGGGAAATGTTGTGGGTTTTTTTCCCCAATAAATAGTAATGATTGAATTGATTACCAATAGGTGTGATTTCCTAACTCACACCATATACAGATATGCCATTCCCAGATGGATTGCACATCCAAATGTGAAATGTAAAATAATAAAGATTGGTGAAAAAGTATAGGAAAACATATTCATAACTTTGAGGAAGTCAAAGCTTTCACACAAAGGCCACAGAGAGCACTAAGCATAAAGTTAAGCAGTAAAAAATAGGGCCTCATTAAACATAAGAAATTCCCTTCATGAAAAGACACTACGAAAAAAGTGAAAAGATAAAGGCCACACGAGGCGAGTTCTAATTTATGTGAGAAGGAACTGTTATTCAGAATTTAAATTATTTTGGCTACATTATGGTAATTTTCAAGATTTTTATTATAAAAGTATATATAAGTATGTGTTAAAAAGAATATTTGCCTTAATTTGGCTGAATATAAAAATCAGGGTAAAAATAGAAGTACATATATACCCATAGATTTTAAATAAATTGATTCTTAGATATTGGAAATTATTAATATAAATTCTGTAATTTTCTAAAATCCAGCATCTTGTGTACAGTTTGAGAATACAAAGAACACATTAATGTTTAAAATTTGATTATTTAGTTTTGCTGTTTGTTAAATTTACTAAAACACTAAATTCTATGATTAAGTCCAACTAAATTCTACATAAAGTCTAAAATGCCGAAACTCATATGGATACTTTTTTTCAGTCTAAAATGGAATCCCATAATGTTTTTAAAACTTACTAGGGTCATGTAAGATTAAGTTTTAAATGAAAAAAATAGTTAAAATTGTAGCAAAATTTTACAATTTTAGAAAATTTAACCCAGGAATGCTAAGAACCTGATATAATGTCACTTAATGATAAGAAATGTACATGTGTGTGTGTATATATACAATTGTAAACATTTTATATATGCAATTGCTATTAAAGATTTATACAATTTCACTTCCAAAATGTTGGAGCCTTTATTATTTTAGATCTGGGCTGTATCTTTTCATCGTAGTAAGTTCTAATTCATTTAGAACTAAATATTTATCATAACTTTATTGACATTCTCTTTTGAATTTAAATGGCTTTGACATGCCCGAGATGAATTCAGAGAACTGGTTTTTACTCACTTCTTCTACCTTCCCAGTTTTGGAAAATTGGTCAAAAGACTCCTGTCACAGCTGTATCCTGAGACGTTTATATTTGGTTACTGTGGAATTCACACTGTCAGTTTTAATGAATCCTACCCCGTTCCAGGGGTGTGCGTCTCCTTCAGGAGCCCATCATCAATATAATCAATTCCATTTTTCCTAATTGCACAGATGAAATTTTTACCTCCGGATGCCGGAGGATTGATGCATTTTTTAATATGTTGCAGGATTGCGAGAAGCTGGAGAATAATTTCGATGACATCAAGCACACGACGCTGGGCGAGCGAGGCGCTCTCCGAGAGGCAATGAGGTAAGGCTGGGTCGCCATGGCAACAGTCACAGATGTGGTAAAGAAAAAGTCATTCTTCATTATTGGGGGAACAAATGAGTTCATTGCCACCATTCAGCTCCGTTCTCTAAGGTATTAATTTGTCAGTGAGAGACTTCCCTGGGGGCTGTACTTTGGTTTTGAAGCTGCATAAATGTTAAGCCTCGGTGCACAGTAAAAAATGTAAATGTTTAATTTGTTACTTAAAATGCTTAAGGGGTGTCTTGTTTTATATTTATACTAAACTGTGTGATTGAATGGAAATTTTGTTCATCTAAATTCTGCCTGTTTGTAACAAAGTAAACAGTACAATGGTGGGTGAACTGAGCAGTATTTCCTCCTAATTAATATTTAATTAAAAAGGAGGTACTTAAAATTTTATATTGCATTAGATGATATCATGGTATTTTAAAACAGATTGACATTTTCACACTATCATAGAGCACATGGGTTAACTTTTCTTTTTCCCGGAGACAGTGGTCTTTAATGAGCCCGCTGGTGGCTTTTCCACATTTGCACATTACGATTTGTGAATATTTCTTTGCATTTCTTCCCTCACTTGGTGCCTTTTTTTTTTTTTTTTTTAGCAAGCAGTATTTAGATCCATCTGGTCAGGGTCCAGGAAGGCTTTTTACTAGACATTAAAAAAAGGGTGAGGTATATAAAGCTCATCGTCCATCGCATGACACTAACGTACAAGTTGTGAGTGGAACCTCCGAGGGCGAGCACCTCCAAGGGCATTGCACAGAAATGGCCCGTTTCCCTGTGTTTAGCCTGTGAAACAAACATGGATTTTTAAAATATCTCTCCTATCAGTGCTCATTTTCTTTTTAGGATCTTAAATCAAAGCTAAACAGCATTTAAAGGCGGAGGAAGGAGAAACGCAGGAGGCAGTGTGGGTACTGTTTTGTTATTGCAAGTACACGGCCACCATATACTCTGGTTCACAGGCTGATTGCCAGGCACGGTTACCAGGCAAGCAGCAGGGGAAAGTAATTAAATTTAATAGAAGCTGCCCTCATTTTGAAGCCACTTCTATTTAAAACCACAGGGGGAGGTAATTAAATTTAATGGAAACAGTAGCTTCTACACAAAGATACATGGTACTTCTGCATAGATGATTATGATGTCACGAAAAGAGGAATAATCTATTGCTAGTTCGGAGAAATTACCAGCTGGAGCAAAGGAGCCTGTTTTATTGTTTAACGTCTTGTTGCTAAAAAAAAAACACAAACCAACAACAAAACAACAACACAAAAAACAAGAGCGGAAAAATAAAACGGAGGACACAGTGGAGGAGGTGTGTCTACATAGAATGCGATCAGCCTCAGAGAGTTAAAGTTATTGAACATAGGAGTAAACTAACCATCAGGGGTAAAAATACTGTGTTCAGTCTCGAGGCAGATCTCGGCATGGGCTGCGTGTCTCACTGTGGTCCGCATCCTCTCCCTGGAGCAGCACAGGGGTGTCAGCGGCCGGGTACAGCCGTGAGCGCAGACGGAGCGGGCACACCGACAGCGATGCGGGAGGACAGCTCCTCTCTGCACGTGGCTGCTGTTGAGTAGACGGTGCAGGAAGACAAAGGGGGGGGGAGAGCTCCAGGCCAAGCCGCAGGGGGAGCCGCAGGGGGAGCGTGCGGAGCGAGGGAGGGAGGCGCGGGGGGCGAGGAAAGCCCCCGGTCAGCACGGGAAGGACGTCTCACCGAGGGCAGCAGCCGGTTGACTTCGGGGAGAACCGTGTCTGAGGGGATGGTTCCATTCCGCCCAACGGGAATGACGGCGTTTTGGGAAACGCCCGGATGCTCTGCTCAGGAGAGAGGAGAGCGGAGCTAAGGAGGGAAACCGGTGGTACCCGCTCCAAGGGGCCTCGGGCCGAGATGCTCTGAGATGAGGGCCGTCGGGTCACTCCGTGCCGCTCAGTCACACGCTGGGCCGGACTCCGTTGACATGGGCTGCATACGTTGCACACACATACACACACGTTACTGGTAATGTTGAGATTCACAAAACACAGTTAAATAATTGAATGACTAAGCAGTGAACAGTGGCCCGGCTGATGCAGCTCAGTGGTTGAGCGTCGACCTAGGAACCAGGAGGTCAGGGTTCGATTCCCTGGTCAGGGCACAGGCCTGGCTTGCGGGCTCCATGCCCAGTAGGGGGCGTGCAGGAGGCAGCTGATCCATGATTCTCTCTCCTCATTGATGTTTCTCTCTCTCTCCCTCTTCCTTCCTCTCTGAAACCAATAAAAACATATAAAAATAAAAAAAAAATAAAAGCGGTGAACAGTGTGGTGTGCGGGGCCTGGCCCTGCCTTTGGCGTTGGGTTTCCTTCAGCACATGCAGCAGGGCCTCCTTCCTGTCCATGTGAGGGTCCTGCCAGCAATGGTGCGATGCCCCGTGCTCGGAGGAGGATGTGGGAAGGGGCAGGAATCCATTATTCTCACCTGGGACCGGTGGTCGCCTCACATGGAGGGTGGTGTCTGGGTCCCACCAGGCTGTGGAGGGATGAGCGCTTTGGCCTGGGCTCGGGGAGGGGATGGCAGAGGTGGGGGCAGGTGCAGGGGGAGGGCAGGGCAGTGGCTAGAGGGGGGAGTGCAGGTGCAGGTAGAGTCTAGGACAGTGATGGCGAACCTATGACACGCGTGTCAGAGGTGACACGCGAACTCATTTTTTTGGTTGATTTTTCTTTGTTAAATGGCATTTAAATATATAAAATAAATACCAAAAATATAAGTCTTTGTTTTACTATGGTTGCAAAGATCAAAAAATTTCTATATGTGACACGGCACCAGAGTTAAGTTAGGGTTTTTCAAAATGCTGACACGCCGAGCTCAAAAGGTTCGCCATCACTGGCCCAGGACGTACCTGGCCTGAGGTAAAGCAAAACCTGTCGAGCTTTTTCTAATCTTTTCCCCTCAAAACTCGGAGGCTGTTTCCCCATCAGTGACGTCTGTCCTTGTTTGCGGAGGATCCCTGGGTGGAGGCGGAGCAGGAGGAGGTTGGCAGGGCTAATGGGAGCCCCTCAGGGTCCCTGAGTGTCGGGGGGGCAGTGGGGACAGGCGTGAGGAATTCCCGGAAGCCTCAGCGGGCCCAGGAGGCGGCTGGACAGGTGTTTACCGTGTCCCGGAGGCCAGTGACCTAGGGTCTAGTGTGTCCTGAGGGCGAAGGTAAGTTGTTTCCGGGAGTCATCCTGGGCTTGGGGGACGGATTCAGTAAGAAACGAGGAAGGTCACGGGCAGCTCCGTAGAGGCCTGGGGGGCAGGAGAGCCAGCGCAGGACTGGATGCCGCGTCCGCTCACTGCATGCACGTTACTGGGGTCTGAAGTAGACCTGCGAAGGGCAGACGGTGTCCTTGGCCTTCCTGTAGCATCAGCGCATAGTAGGTGCTCGGTAACTGTCTGCTGAGTTACTGATAATGGTGCACACGGCGGGTGGGCACCAGGAGGTTACAGTTCCTATGGAAACAGATGTGAGGGTGTGATGGTTACAGGAGCGTCACTAACTCCAGAGAACGTTGCAGGGCACTGTCACCTACTTCTGCCCACCCCTGTATGCCTTGCAAGCACCCTCACTCTCAGAAAAGAGGAGTAAGAGGTGGGTTTTTAGCACCGTCATGCACGTGGACACCGGATTAACAGTGATGGCTGCCCAGGGAGGCGGCGAAGTGGCTGCTGTTCTCAGAGGACGATTTCTATCTCGAAGCCCAGGAGAGTTAACAACAAAGGCCCTAGGAATCCATCAGAGGACTCAGTCAGGCGGCCGCATTCTAGGTACAGTCGGAGATTCACGAGGTTTCTGTGTCTTACCCGCAGCCAGTGAGTGTTTGTGGTAATAGGTCCTGCGAAGACCCCGTGAAGCTGTGATTGTATCATAAAGTGCCCACACCTTCCAGGACACGTGGAATTACTCGGTAAATGGCGTAAGAGGCAGTTGTTTCGCTGTTTGGAAGGAAGAAATGACTTCATAGTCTCGCCTCGAGAATCCTAAAGGAAATTCATGTCTGTGAAGAGCCCAAGTCCAACAGATTGTGGGAGGGACTGTCTTTCTGAGGTTTGATGAGGAAAGAGATGATAAGCTAAAAAGTCCTTGAAGAAATCACTAAGCTTTGACTGTATTGAAAAAGTTTATGTATCACAAAACTAATAGCATCAGTACATTGTGTTGCGTGTGTATAACTTGTTCAGAAAGAGTAGCTCAGTGGGTAATTGGCAAAGTATGTTGAAGTAAGCCTGGAAAGCATTCAGCTCTAACAGCAAAAATGATGTGAAGTAGGTGAAACAGCAGCCCTGGTTTTTGGTTGTTGATGTTACTGCAGGTCTGTGGGCGGGGAGGTAAGATTGAGTGCCCTTCCCACGTTCCAGAAGGCCAGGAGGCCTGGAAGTCACTGCTGCATTGAAGCAAAGATGGTACCAATAGGTACTCAGAGCCTTAAAACACGCGCTTTCAGTAGTAATGGCACTTCCTGAAATATATTATGCAGCAGACCTGCTCCTCAGACTTCAGAATATAATGGCGAACAAATTGAATAGTTGTCTGCTGTTAAAGAAAAACAATAAGGACATGAATATTTTATATATGTAATATGCCATAGTATATATATGTAATCTAGAGGCCCGATGCACAAAATTCATGCAAGGGCTTTGGCCCCGGCCCCTGCCCACCACCGCTGCGGCTGGGAGCCTCTGCCACCTCTGCCTAGGCCCCTGCCTGCTGCGGCTTTGTCTGGAAGGACATCCGGAAGGCTGTCCGGTCTAAGTAGCATATTACACTTTTATTGTTAAAGATGTGTGTGTGCGTGTGTGTGTGTGCGTGCATAATGGAAAGTTGTAGCATTATTCACTCTATCTGGATATTTAAATGATCTCTAACATGATGCTTTTAGTGACATAAGAATCCTCGTGTTATAATGTTCAGTGGAAAATACCACGAAAAAAATTTACATTAGAACGTGATGTCCACTGAACTAAGAAAAGTAGAGGAAAG